AGTAAATACACAATATATCCTTAACCTAAAAGGACATGTGCAAAACGTATAATATTGTTGCGTCATCGAGTCACATTACTACTGTGACACAACGTTTCTAGAAACTATCATGTACTTTGGCGAATGTTCTAGTTCTTACTAGATATAGGGTAGGCTGGTATATAAAAGAGGGGAATGTAATGTCTGGGTAGATAGTGAGTAATTGAACTGCAGTCAGAAGTATTATTGACGTTCGTTTGTTTAGCGCGATTGTTGAAGTTGAGTGTATCGGTAAAGTTATATTCGGAAAGAATAAACCAGTTTTATTAAGTAAAGACTTGTGTCGTTAAAATTTCGTCGGAACGAAGTTACGGAAAAATCAATTAACAAACGGAGACGTAACAATATTTTTTATAATGTTTCACATATCAAAAATGTACAATTACATAAAAAAAACACTTTTTTGCAGTGAAATCTGAAAGAAATATATATATATATATATAAAATGGTTTTTATAAGACATTTCCATCAGAAAAAAAAGAAGTTTTTTGTGATATTGTGATTATTTTGTTCAAAACTGATTAAAAACAAATATACAAACCTCATTCCTTTAGGTTTTACATGTACAGTACTCTGGTTAGCGTTAAGAACCTTGAAAGGCAAAGCTTTATGAATGAGTTTGTTTACATATGATAAGTTTAATTGTAATCTTTTTCATTAGTCTGATGATAAGACACATTTTGGAACAGGGGGCATACATGTTTTACAGTACAAATAACATAATTTTTAAGGACAACAGAGAACCTTTTGTTCCATCTAGGCCCTTCCATTCACTAAACTAAAATCAGAGCAGAAACTGAAAATAAAACAAGTTGTGAACAATCGATGGTCACTGTCACACACTGCAATTTATCTGGTGTTAACTCAATTTATGTAAAATAATATAACACACACATTTTGTTTTGAAACCTATTTTCATTATTACAGATATGAACACTGTGAGGTAACAAAGCATTTGACTAATAGGCCTAATATTTATGATAAAAATCACAAACTGAAATGGACAAATTAAAAGAAATGTGAAAAAAAAAACATTTGCAGTTTTCGTGATTTAGTTTTGTCATAGTTAATTTTGATGTTATAATCGCAGTTCATACATGTTTTATTAACATTTTAAATAATAAATGGGAAGCCGTCCATTTATAATATTGAGCTCATAATGTAAAGTATAAGAACTTCAAGAAATTAAATATGCATAATGTTTTACCTATAACACTTGTTAAGAAAAGTTGTCTTCAAATGTATCCTCATAATGCAGTGTCACTGCGAGTGTATAGGACAACATATACACCATTTACAATAATCTGAAAAATGAAGTAATGGTTATATTATAAATTTATAACTAAATTTTATTTGTTTTCAGCAATTAAGGAGCAATTTCATGGACCAAATAGACTCTCAGTTGGCAGACTTCGTTGATGATTTTGTATCAGAAGTTGAAGGACAGCTCCAAATGCCATCTCTATACACAAAATTTAATACCATACAGGACTCTATGCACAAGAAAATAAGAGGTTTGCTTAAGTATATTATTTTCTTTTGTAAACGTGAGAGAAGAGAATATTTGAAAAAAAACTGAAACTTAACTGTAGTTAAGTAATTATGGAAAGTAAGGGGAAAAAATATAAAAGAATGGGAAATTTGTTAGTGTAGATATGTATGGTTTTATTAAGATTAAATAATATGATTTGTACATAATTATTACATTAATGTACTACCTATATTTTAATAAATTTTAAAACCAATATGAAATGTATTTATAAGGTTTAAAGTAGTCTAAAGTGAATTAGGTTTTAGGGAAAATAAATACACGTGTTATTCTTGAAAATTGTTAACAATACAAACATTTTCAAACAAAGATAACAGGTCATGTTTTTTGTTTTTTTTTCAATTATTGAGTGTTGACCTATCCATCACGTTAATAAAAGTAATTATGTTGCCATTAAGTTGTTATTCTATGAAGTATTTAATTTTGTACAATTTGTATGAAAATAAATTTACTTTTAAATTTAGATAAACAAATAGCATAATATTTTTGTATTTTTATTCACAATTTTACTTAAATAATACCATTACAAACATGGTCACTTTGATTCAAGCAAGGCTTTAAGGGTAGATTAAGGGTTGAAGTTTCATGATGGAAGGAATGAAATAAGAGGGGTACCATGGCTTTGTAAAGGTTGTAAACCACTGATTTGACTACTCATTATCCTAAGTTGATGTAAAATTCCTAAATTATCTAAAATTTTACAGATAACCACTAAAACTGCTAAAAATAGAAACATTATTTTGTCTTTGGTCATCTTGAGATGTCGATCTGATGATGATGTCACTTTGACCTGTTTGTGAATGACTGGTGGAACCATGGGTGTGGAAAGAGCAGTAGATAATTTAGATACAATTGATGTTTTTTATAATAAAATTTCAGAAAACCACCAGATGTAAGGTTAAGACATCATCGTCAGCATCTTCATCTCCGTACAGATGGTAACTAATCTGGCTTCATCAGGTAAGGAATGTTTTTTGTGTAGTGAGTAGTGAAAAAAGCCACAGTAAATGGAACAAACTTTCAGAAGTCTTATATCAGAGAAACTAGTTTGTGAAACCACTTTGTGTTGGCGACAACACTAACATTGAACCCCTTGATAAAATGTTAAGGAAGAATAACTTTAGAATCATATACAAATATCCGAACACCATTAAAAATAACCTAATTTCAAACAGAAAAACACCTGAAGATAAAAACCAAGGTGCTTATACTATACCATGCCAATCCTGTGAGAAAGGTTATGTAGGTGAAACCGGAAGAAGTGTTGACACGAGAGTTTCTTAACATAAAATATGGAAACCAAAACAATGCCATTTTTCTTCATATGAAAGATTCTGGCCATCAGACTGATTGGAAATCAACATGAATTTTATACAAAATGGATAACTACATAAAAAGAAGAATTGTCGAAAGTCCTTAATCAAAAGTCTGCCTAATTTTAACATCTCCAAAGATCACTTTAAAATTAACAACTTTCTGACCTCCTGTGTCCTTAAGGGAATTCCCAGATCAGAGGTCACATAGGCATTCGTTGACCAGTGTTTTTCCTGCCAGAAGACAACGTGAGACTGAAGAGGATGCACGAATGTGTCGAAACTAGTTTCTTTGATATCAGATCTCTGACAATTCGTTACATATACTGTGGATTTTTTCACTAATTGCTGTACACGATACTGTGTTCTTTTATTATTATTTTGTGTAGTGTTTATATTTTGATACTCATTGTTTATTACCAATAAGCATTTTGTTTCTTCTGTTGTATGAATGTCAAACATGATGAGTTGAAAATTTGCCCTAATTTTTCCTTATGTACTTGTTTGAATATCCATAAATTTTCACCTAAATAGCCCTAAATTTACCCACCCCGAAACAGTGTTACTTTCTGGAAAGCCTGCAAGTGTAAAACGTTGCATGTTAGGTTAGTTCCTTGTTGATGAATATTTTAAAAACTTTTTTTAACGATATAGATTTGAACACTTTTAACAAAATCACTTGAGTTCCTTAATGATAAAATTAAATTTCAAGGTATATTAAATTTGTTCTGGCAAATTCAGGACTAATGAATAGTTTTTATTTTTGCATATTAAGCTTTTTCTGACCTTGTGTTGCTGAAGTATTTTGTACCGTGTAATTCGTCTTTGATTTTAGTGAATAAAATATTTATTCAAAATATTCACTTCTTGTATAAATATATCTTTTTTTTCTTTCTTCTTACCTTTTTAACTGGAAATAAAAAATTATTTTGAAAGTTCTCCAATTTCATTGACGGAGCTGGTTAATTAAATCAATTGCTTTCATGTAAACTAATTGATTAGTCAAAATTACAATGAATTGATTAATTTAAATTATGTTTCTGATTATTACTGTTATCAATTAAATCCAACAATCAATTAACCGAAACTATGATTAAATCGACTGCCACAAAAATAATCAACTAATTGAAATGAATTTATTAGATTATTCCAACAGTTGATTAAGCAAAACTATAATTAAATTGATAGTCATGAAAATATTAAATTAATACCCAGAAAAGGGACCAAAGGCTGCCTGGAGGGGTCACCTGCTTTAACCACTCACATTACTATACAATAGTGTGTGGTCTGTCAGTCAGTCAGTAGACACTAAAATGACATCACATAGGGGACATTTAATGTTGGAATTTGTACTGTTGTGATGTCAGTAAAATGTTTGCATGCCATGAATCATGAGAATAAGTATGAATTCTGTAGTCTAAAACACGACATGACATATGAAATTCAAAAGCAAGAAATAAAAATATTTGTTACTTTTAACACTACCATTACGGGTTGGGTGGGATCCACCCATCTCCTAACCAGGAATGTATCCATGAGAGTAATTATACTATAATTTTTGATAATGTAGGTGTATCTTTACAAAATTTTGCAGATTATCAGTAAACATTACGAGGCTTTTGTATGTAAAACATCAGGTTTTTTTTATTACGTTTTAGGAATTCTTAAGTGATGTTTTTATCATGCCTTTTTCTTTTCAAATGTTGACCATCCAACATGCAAAGTAATTTTGATTTTAAGAGTAAAAATACTTAAACATTTTCAAATTTCACATGTGAAATCTTTATAACCTCCAGATAATTATCAAATGTTTTTTTTTAAAAACTATTTTATCTGTTATTTTCACTACTGTATCTCTGTACAGGTTGGGTCGATTTGACCGACCTTGTAACCACCATAAAAATTAGGAAATAAATATAAATTATGCTTTTATTGTTCTAGAATGACTACAAATTATAACTCAAACACATATGTGTAATCTAAATATCCCTTTCAGCCATGCCTGGCTAACATTACAGAAGTTGCAATGATGAGGCATACGTGTACTCAAATTACCATGTTCAAGAATATAAGATTGGCCTTTACAAAGTGATTTGTCTTGGCTGTGTTTGAGTGGACTAGTATTTTGTAAAATATGGTTACATTTCAGTTATAATACATATGTATATAGATTATTACTATTTACAAATAAGTTTTTAAACTTATTTTTCCTAAAACATAGATCAGTAAAGAAGTAAAGCAAACAATTATCTCTTCTAGTTACGGCCTTCGTACTTGGTTGCTGCTTGCCATAGGTTGCTAAGCCTTATCAAATTGCATACATGGAGGATGTGAAATGAAATATTTTTTTTAGGTTTTTATATATACGTTTTTAAATAACAAAGAATCATAAATTAGTACATCAATACCATAGAATTTCACTATAATTTATCAAGCTTAGTATCTAAGCTGTATTTGGGTCTAAAAAAATATGAAATTTTGAGCTTATTAAAGTCTTACCTTATTGCTTAAAATCTGCCATGAAAAAAAAAATTGTTTCCTGTGTAAGTACTTTGGATTGTCTCAGAGAACCACATGGGAGACATTCTGAGCTTTTGATTGATTATTTGCATGACAGAAGTAGGGGTATGTAAGCAAGTGTTTCCTAAAATGGAAGGAGGTGGGTGGGGCCACTGTGTTTGATTCAGTAAATGTTGCGATATCTCAGCAAATAGAAAAGATAGGAGGTTCTTATTTTAGATTCTAGCCCATCAATATTGGTAATTTGAGTTCCTAATTTGTAAGAAACTAAAGATTTTGTATTTGGACATCACAAACATCTAATTTGAACTAATTCTACATTCAACATACCACGTGACCCACAAAAATCAATATTTCTTTTTTAATATTTACTTTTAAATTAAGAAATTAACTAATGGATCATACAAAAATTTGAATTATAATCTACAATTTGATACCAAACTTACTGACATACATTCATAAAATACCAGTTCGATAAAATTTTGAATGTGAGTCTACAAAAGATATAAAGGTTTTATACCATTATCACTAGTTTCGAACTACTGACTAACACCCACCAATAAATTTAGTTCATTTATTTTTGTTTTGAATCATTGACTAGAAAAAAGACTTGTTAAAAAAATCCTTCCTGGGGGTGTAAGGGATGAGTTGGCTTACTAGATAGAAAACTGACTGGAAAGAAGAAAGCAACTCTGAATTAATGTCACATGTGGGGTACCTCGGGGCTCAGTGTTAGAACTTTTGCTCTTTTTGATTCACACCAATAAAATAGACAATAGAAGGTTCAGTACGTTATTTAAATTTGCTGATAATGTTAAGGTTTTAGGTGTTGCTGGATTTAAGGATGATGCTGCTGCTTTACAAAATAATTTTTATTATTTGGTGAGTTGGATAAATAAATGGCAGATGGCTTTTAATTACAATAAATGCAAAGTAATGCATGTGAGATATCACTATTTGAATTATGAGTATAATTTTGATGGGAATAATCTTAATAGTGTTATGAAGGAAAGTTATCTTCATCTTATGGTATTAGTCTCTTAAGCTATCCAAGTAATGTGCTGTTGATAATAGCAGGAAAAATAGGATATTAGGTTGTATCTACAGAAATATTGAATACAAGTCTAAAGAAGTTGTAATGTTATAGTGTCAGTCATTGGTTTGGCCACATTTGGATTATTTTGTTCAGTCTTGGACACTCCTTACCCACTGGATTGTTAGAAAGGTTTCAGAGGAGGGCTACTAGAATGACACCTGGGATGGAAAAGTTGTCATAAAATATTTCTGAAACTATATTCTCTTTGAAAAAAAAAGAAGAGTTAGAGGGGATTTGATTGAGGCATTTAGGATTAAAGGAATTTATTGTATTTAATGATAAGAATGGTAAGACTAGTAGACACAAATATAAATTTTGGAAAGGCAGGAATCATCTTCAGCTAAGACGTTTTGTTTTTATAACATTGTGGTTAGCTTTTGGAATGGGTTGCAGTTAGTTAGTGGATGTAGTTAATTTAAGGGAGTTTAGTTAAATATTTGAATGACAAGGGCTAGCTTTGAGAATTTTATTTTCATTTTTAAGTTTGGTATGGTAAATGGGATGGCGTCGATGGACCAAAAGGTTCCTTGTTGTCATTAAATTTTATGTAAAATGGTTGGCAGCACACACGATCAACTTTTTTGTTTCTTGTAGGTATTACGGCTTGAGTTAACACCACACTAATCAAATAATTGAACTTAGTCAGTTAATGGGGGCCATCAATTAATAGATTAGCAAATACCGATAATAGCACATCTCTATTTATTAGTAGTGACAAATTTGTGAGTACTTTATACATTTTATTTTGTACAGTTTCATAGTCATTGTTATCCATAGAATTATTTTTAGGTTTGGAAATTATTTCCACATGGGAGATGTAAAAAATTGATTGATATCTATTTTTTTATAGATCTGACAAAAATGACTGTCTACCAGAGAAGCAGTTTGTTTCAAGGGATTCGCTATTGACGTAAGTTGTGTAACAGGTTCTCTATTGTATGATGTTTTATACGATGAACATAATATGCTGGTATAGAAGTGAATTTATAAAGAATGTTTACTGAACTCAAACAGATTCTGAAAGATTACTACCAGTCAATGTTTCTGTTTCAGTAGGTGACTTATTTTTGTTGTAGTGTCATTGCTAAAAGCATCATTATAGCAACTATAGATATACAGTTAACCATAGTGAAATAAAAGTTAATTAATAAATATGTTTGTGGAGACGGTAATAATACTGTTGTCTTCTACTATTAACAGTTGGTAAAAAAATAATCCTGTGGTTCCTCATGGAAGGAAAGGATCATGTAAGAAATGCAAAGTTGATCATTATATTCTCACCACATGAAAAAACATTATGTAAGAAATGCACAAATTGATCATTGTATTCTCACCACATGAAAAAACATTATGTAAGAAATGCACAAATTGATCATTGTATTCTCACCACATGAAAAA